CGTCTTGATTTTCTGAGTGTCTGTAGTATAACAGAACTGCACTACAATTTTCATTTTAGTTATATTGAAGTCAATTTATATATAAAGGAGCAAGCCTCTCAGCGAGAAAACATACCTTTTACCTAATCATCCTTATGTATGATTCTCACCCATTCCCCTAGTTTCATCTGATGTTAGTATTTTTCATTTTGTTTTGTTTTGAACATTGCATTGTTCCTTGGGTTGGAGATATATCAGTGAACCATTTTAAAAAGTGTGATGTTTGCAAATTTAATGGAAAAGTGTAATCTATACTTTGATTGGTCAGTGTTTAATCATCCATGTATATATTGACCAATCAGATCAATTGTACTATTTTAAGTGAGGTATGAGACTGAAATCAAAAATCAAAGCAAAAATATTTGAAGAAAGTATTAAGAATTAATGTGACTTAATTGTGTAATGGATTAGTAAAATGGTAAGGTCAATATATAATCTAAAATATAATATTCATTTGTGTAAAAGCAATTTTTGAGAAGATTTACTGTAAGGAATGAATTTCTTGTTAAAATATGAAGTGGCTCTTCAACATTCTTAGTGTTTGTAATCATTCCATATCTCATTTCTACAATATTTAACAATGAATAGTCAGTCTTAGGCATTATGGTGAATTGAGGTTTATGTTGTATCTTAAATGCTTACAAGTTGTCATTTGCCTCATTTCAGTAATGGCAAGTCCAAACTGTATATTGTCTTCTGCATCAAGTCCACCAATGTCATCTCCACAGACAGATTCTGTAACTAATTGGAATATCTGTGCCATTTGCCAAAAACATGGTGGTACATTGAGGTGTCCTGCCAAAAATCCTAATCAATCTAATGTAGGAAGTGGATACAAAACATTTTCAGAGATTTTAGAGACATATGTAAATAAAGGTCTACCTCTCCCCCTAGAAATAAACCACAGTCGTTTTAATGATGGTGATGGGGTTCTTCTAACTCTACAAAAACACCAAGCTAGGTGGCATGAACAATGTCAACTACTCTTCACCAAATCCAGACTCCATCGTGCAGAGAAAAAGAAGCTGGGGGATGA